CACCAAACAGTTTCCGTAGTTGTCATCTAAGCCAGGCAGACTTTTTGTTTTCCATCCACTGTGAGATTGCATAACATCAAGGACAACGCAAACAAAATATTTTGAAAGTTACTGTCACGCAAAATTGAACGCAGAGAGATTTAAAAAAAAAATATTCCTGCTGGGTCCATAAATGATGCAGTAACGTAACAGCAATAATTTCAACACTATTCTTGACTTTCTACGGGGATAACCAAAAAAAAACCAACTGCTGCTGAATAAAATTATGTTTAACGCAAATATCTTTAAATTTAAAATAATCCCAATCAATAAAGTAGTCCTCAAGCGAAGTGGGAGACAACGGCACTGACCTTACTGGAAAAATATTGGGCGGGGGGGGGGGGGTAGCGGGTTCTTCCAAAAAGTTAAAGAAACCCCGTCCACATTACACCTAGGCGGGTTGAGGGGGGGGGCAGCAAGGACTTATATGGACACAGGGGCGTAGCTAGGGGGTTGCGTGTGGTACGGACCGCACCTGGGTGACACCGAATTGAAAAATTGGCTATTTACAGAGCACACTGCTCGGTCTAACCGAATTGTTACTATCCTAGTGTCTCATTTTTATTTTACTTAGTTTACATGTTTTTAATAATTGTAAAGCGCTTAGAGCTTTATGGTAAGCGCTATAAAAAAAATGCCTAAATAAATAAATTGTATTACAGGATATCCGAGCGCACATACATCTTCTAAACACGTCACCAATCCCAGTGATTACGGTGACTGCTATTGATTTTTGCTCAGGTTTTCAGCTTTAAAGACCAGGAAAGAAATATTTTAAATAAAGTAAATTTAATGTAAAAATAACTGCAACTCAGCGTTGTTACAGTTCTTAAATACAGTTTACTCCTGCGCATCAAGTAATTTGTTTTCGTCCTTGTCACTGTGGAGTCATTTTAACAAGAAGAAATCCATCGCGGAATTCGGGGGGGGGGGGGGTAACATCATGAGTTTACCGTACCGGGTGACACCAATTCTAGCTACGCCACTGTGTGGACCGTTGTTCTTCAGAGTTATTCTAAGAAAAAAACAAAACAATTTAATTAAGTGAAAAAAGGAAGATGTAAAATGTATTAAAGGATAATGTAAGCAATGGCAATCAGTTCCTTAATTCAGTATGTTTCTATTCAATCTATCTCTATTGAATCTATATCTGTTCAATCTGTAACTCATTAATCTATATCCATTCAATCTATATGTCTTTAATCTATATGTCTTCAATCTATATGTCTTCAATCTATATGTCCTCAATCTGTATCTATTAAATCTATATCTATTCAATCTATATCATTTCTATCTTTATCTAATCAATCTATATATTCAATCTATATGTCTTCAATCTATATCCATTAAATCTATATCTATTCAATCTTCATCTTTTCGATCTTTATCGATTCAAACTATATCTATTCAATCTAATATGTTTTCAATCTATATCTATTAAATCTATATCTATATCAATCTATATCTATTCAACCAATATCTTTTCAATCTTTATCTATTCAAACTATATCTACCTATTTAATCCATCTATTCCATTCAAGCTAGCGGTGCATATGTCATTTCAAAATTTTAATGTAAACTATTCATTACAGTTCTGTGATTGCTTCAGCTGCTCCAATAAAAATTTTAACCAATTTAATCGTAAGCTTTGTAATCAACAAGAGCCTTTAAAAATATCTAACAGAGGCCTTTTTCTCAAGCCATAATCTCGTCCATTACGCCCTTGAAAGGTACACAAATATTACAGAGTCGTGGTCACTCGTGGAGTTGGACGAAGAATTTTTTTTTGTCTTAGTCGGAAACGAACTATTTACGGATGTTGTGTCGTATCGGATTTTCGATTCCCGAGAGGCAGAATTAACTCCCTTGAGCTAAATCTAAATGTCAAGATCAAATAATAGTTCATGATAATCCCAAATACGGTCCCTGGGAGTGATTCGGTTAGTAACTATCTAATCAAACAGTCCCAAATACGGTTCCTGTGAGTCATTGGGCTACGAAAACCACTTGTTCAAATGAACCGGTGGACATTTTAGTTTAAATGAACAGGTGGACATTGCAAGTTTAAATGAACAGGTGGACATTGTAGCTTAACTGAACCGGTGGACATTGTAGTTTAAATGAACCGGTGGACATTGCATGTTTAATTGAACAGGTGGACATTGCATGTTCAAATGAACCGGTGGACATTGTATGTTTAAATGAACCGGTGGACATTGCAGTTTAAATGAACCGGTGGACATTGCATGTTTAAATGAGCCGATGGACATTGTAGTTGAAATGAAACAGTGGAAATTGTATTTTAAATGAACCGGTGGACATTGTAGTTGAAATGAACCGGTGGACATTGTAGTTTAAATGAACCGGTTTAAATTCAACAAGACTCAGAAAAACAAGAAAATGGCAAGACAGGGTCACAGACACTGAGGTGCTCACACAGGCAGGTCTCTCCAGCATCTTTATCATGTCAATGCAGTCCCAGCTTTGCTTGGTGGGACATGTTGTGAGAATCTCAGACGACCGTCTGCCCAAAAGAGAGACAAGGAGCAGTACAACGTAAAAGTGCTAAAGAAGACCAGGTTAAAAATTTGAATGACTGTCCTCTTCGCTATCAACATGAACACATCTATGAGTGCGTTTCAATACATGCACAACCCTATGGCTAAGTATGCCCAGTCCCTGATAGCTGGCACAGTAAGCATTGAGCTTTTGAGTTTGTTGATTCTGTCCGCGGAAGCGGAGCATCTCCGAGGAAACTTGGAGGCGTCCACATGGGGTTTTGCCTCTTCGTCGCAGAGTAGTAGGGAGGTTGCCTCCCGAAGCTTGAAAACCCCGGCCACTTGCATGACTCCCAACGCAACGGGAGTAACGCAATAACATGATTAATTGTTGCCGTTAATGGATACGAGGCCTGGGTGGCGGTTAAAACCCTTGCCGATGATTTTAGCTACGCGGCCCTGAGAAAGCCGCTCCTAGGCGACCATTTCGTCCCCGCTTTCATCCCAACCGGACAACTCCCTGGACGGTGGGGGGAGGTAACGCAACACCTTTACCCCGGAGAGGAAGCAAAGCCGTTCAGCACCAAGGAGAGTGGACCGGGAAGTTCCCGGCGTACTTCTGCATGGTCTGGTGGCGGGGAGACCCAGCGTCGGCCCGTGTGGAGGTGTGCCGGGGGGGGGGCGGGTATTATGAGCTCGCGCTCGACGACCATCTCCAATGTGACGTTATTAGTTTGTTGATTCTATCGATTCTTTCGTGAAGAATACTATAATTAGCGAACTTCTCGAACATTTATAACATTTTAAAAAGACGTATAAATTCTTGAAAAACCAACACTTTTGCCGCATTAAAACATGTCAGGGGTCAAGGATGTAAATCTTCATTCTCCAAATCATAACAATTTGGATTTCCTAAGCGAACCTTCTAATGAGATGTTTTGAAATCTCTGCTATATATTACGCTTCTGAGTCTGGTGTGACTGTTGAATTTGGTATTGAGAGTATATAAATTCTATATAAATAATTCTAAAATGTTTGAAAGAAAGTATGGGTCAATAATGAGTTCATTAGCGAGTAAAATATAATTCCCGTTAACTACCGGTGCGCTAAATGATTTTATTTTATTAAATAGCGCAACTGCTTTTGCGATTATTTTATTCTTTTCGGAAAATGAAATCGTCTCAATTTTAGAATGGTGTAAAAAAAAAATTTCTGCCTAACGTTTTTAGAACATTAGAATATTTAATATAGTTCATGAGCGTGAAATAAAAAGTGTGCAGTGACGAGTCATGTGGGAAGGGGTGTAGCAAAAATTGAGTTCATGTTTTGTCAAGTTATACTGTGAACTGAGTGCATTCGTTTTCCTCCCCGCTTCGTGATGGTCCCAGCTTGACCTTTGCTCTCAGTTGCCGAATCAGCGGAAGAGTCTCATATTTCAATCTAGGCAACGGAGTGCACCCCTCTCGCGTTCCTCTCTTTTTTTTTGGCCGCTCCCATTTGCTGAATCGACCCCGAACGTTTTAACTCGCAACTTAAATTTCTCCCAATTTACTCTCAGCAAGTGATTAGACCAGCCGCAAAACTGTCCATCCACGAAGCTCTAATCGCCACAGTGTAAAAACGGCAAGCACTGTACGACAAAACTGATGACAACTGCTTGAACAGACTTTTTATTGCTAAACAATGGCAAGAAATAGGCAAAGAAATTGGAACTGATGGTAAGTTTGTACATTTGTATTTATTTATTTATTTTTAGCTTATCTGCCTCTTCTTTTTCCCTTCACTCTTCCTCCCTTCCCTCTCTCTCTCTCTCTCCCTCTCTCTCTCTCTCTCTTTCTCTTTCTCTCTCTCACTCCCTCCCTCTCTCTCTCTCTCTCTCTCTCTCTCTCTCTCTCTCTCAAGAACATTGTCTGAAATAGTTCATAGGAAACATGTGTCGTTTTGCCACGGCAAAGAGCCAGCATCTGATAGGAAGTTCTGCATAAATTGTTGCCTTATTTGGAGCACACTGTTTGTGGCCCGTTGCCTTCTTCTTTCATGATTTTGATAGTTTAGTAGTAGTGGCTGCCCGTGGTCTTGTTGCATATTCTGAGTTGTGGTCACCAGTCTATGGGGCTCGTTATCGACAATGAAATTGTGAAGAACAGTGATTGATTTAACAATGTATGTGGCTGCTAGAGGTTGTGCGTCAATCTGACGTAACAGAATTCTCCACATTTGCGCTATTCTCCCAAATGGGCATTCACCACTATTTCTGGCTCAAGAAAGTCGATAATTGAAAATTTCTTTCTCGTGTGTCAACTGATGGTGAGTAAACGGTTTCACTATATTCTCTCTCAAAGGGAAGGCGTCATCAGCAACAAAAGTGTGAGGCGAGTCGATGTCTGTCCCAGGAATAAAATCATTTGCAGGAATTCCAAGTTTGTCAGCCAAAAGTTTGTCCCCTAAAGTTGAGCGACTGAACACGCCTCCGTCACTGTTTCCACCATAGGAACCCACATCCGCTATCACAAATTTTCCATTTGCGTCTGAAACGGCCAGGAGAACTATTCAGCCGTAGCCTGTGTAATTGTAATACTTGGATCCAGACCGATGAGGCTTCTTAATGCGAATATGTTTGCTGTCGATCGCCCCTAGACACAAAGGGAAATCAAATCTTTCATTGTATTCTAAAGCAATCTGTCGCCACCAATTTTCATCTGGTGTTGGCATCATCAGAGGTTGTAGAACATTCCAAATAGCTCTGAATGTCTCTGTCGTAATTGATCTTATCGTTGTGACACCAGCTCGAAAATGGAATGACAGGGATCGATGGTTTTCGCCAGAGGCCAAGTACCTGTTTAGAAGAAGAAATGACTATTATTATTATGTATAAAATGTTTAAGCACAGATTACAACCTCTCCCCACCCCTTTTTTTTTCTACTCACAGATCAAGGAGCAAGAAAGAAGTGGACTACTCTTCGGGACTACTTTCAAAAGAGCCATCGACAAATGACGACGACAAGGTCTGGCAGCGGGGCAGACAAGCAGAAGAAATTGCTGTCGGCAACTTTTGGCGGGTTATTGCTAGATGTTATTATATTTTTGTTTCCCCTCTTATTAAAAACAAAAAAAGTAGCCTCAAAACCACGCACTACATTTGACGTCATTTTCAACTTTCAAATAAAATCGGCGACGTCACTCTTCAAAACAGCATCCATTTTCTGCAAGGAGATACCAATGGCGAACATGCAGCTACTATCTCGGCTTGGAGTCACACCCTATGCCATGAATCGTATGGTCTCATCTGCTGCTCGCTTGAACTGGCAATCAGTCTCATGCAGTCTGAACAAGTTCCACTCAAACCCCAAGCACCATCAAGTGTTGCATGGTAACTTTAATTCAATTTGACTCGGTTGTTAAGCAGTTGCATATTATAACCTGTTTGTTTACATTGTGTGAACTCAAGCTGTAGTTTATCATTAAACGTGTTACTTCATTGTCATAAAAGGTTTTAAAACGAAAAAAAAAATACAGTTAAAATTCCACGAAAACAAAGCATGCAAAGGATCAACCCCAGCCCTAGCCGCCACGACCCGTGAAAGGCCCCCCCCCCCCTTTAGCCCTAAACCTATCCCCAAACCTAAAATGAACCCTTAGCCTAAACCTATCCCTTAACCGTTTAACTTTACCTGAACCCTAAACCTATTAAGTTAAATAAGCACGTAAATGACTTCATGGCGCGAATCGTCAATTTTAAACCTTCCACAGCAAACAGGACAAATGAGGACATAACAAGAAACAGAGAGTAGCTCAACAACTTGATCGTAAAGTCCTCATAAAGGAGTAGTAACCACAAGGGTTGGGATATTATGCGCGCATGAACAGCAGTCAAGAGCTACTTTCCGAGTCCTCATAAAGGAGTAGTAACCACAAGGGTTGGGATATTATGCGCGCATGAACAGCAGTCAAGAGCTACTTTCTATGTCAAGTTTCCACATACCTTGCTCCGCTACTCCCCAACCCTGGGGCGGGAAAATTCAGCTTCCACACCAATCCGTCTCAGTCGACGTCCACCGATTTTTCGTCCGTCCGTTGGTTTCTGGCTGTACTCCGCCCTCCACCCCCTTTTTTCCCCCTTGTGGCCTGTCATCGTCTCTGGTGTCTTTCACTGTGCAGTCTACTTCCCATACTTTGGTTTGATCTTCATTCACTTGATCCAATTCTTGCTTAGCTCCACCATCACCCCCCTCCCCCCCCGGTGGCCTGTAACCCTCTAGGGTGTCTTTCCGAGTGCAGCCCCAATACGTTGGTTTGATCTTCATTCACTTGATCCAATTCTTGCTTAGCTCCACCATCACCCCCCTCCCCCCCCGGTGGCCTGTAACCCTCTAGGGTGTCTTTCCGAGTGCAGCCCCAATACGTTGGTTTGATCTTCATTCACTTGATCCAATTCATTCTATGCTCCCCAACACCCTTTTTTTTTTGCTCCCTCCACCCCGGCGCCCGTCACCCTCCTCAGGTGTCTTGCCAAGTGGAGTCTACTTCCAATAGTTTGGTTTGATCTTCGTTCTTTTGATCTAAAGCTTCAGGGGCGGCGCTAGGGGATGGCACGCGTTTGCGAGGCCCCGCGCGTTCCAGTTGTATATTTATAATATACTTAAGCCTACTAATAGTTCCTAATCCAGTCAACAAAATATTCGGAGTTATTAGATAGTCCAATGGTCTGAAGGTCAGTCTGGCTCCCATACTTTCTGCTATGACGCGTCCCATTATGACCAGCAAGGCCCCAGTACGACGACGACGTGTCTTAATATCCTATCGGTGGTTTATATAACGTCAACGGCCTCGCAAAATTCAATTTGCCCAAGGCCCCGCAGTCTCCAAGCGCCGGCCCTGAATGCTTTTTGTTTGCGCACGCAATGGCTCTAAATGGCTCCTGTTTAAATCAGTACAACGGTCTGAACTGATTCTAATAGCATAAGGCTGTCGGTTTCCGCTGTTGAGATTGAAGGTGGTCACTTCTCCTAGTTATTCTTGAAATTGATCTTCCTTCTAGTATTATTTTTCGTATTCTAAAAGTATGACCAGCTGCATGTCACGACATGTTTGCGGTTAGCCGCGTGGTATTTAATACATCTGCTTTTATCAAACGTGGGGATTTTTCTATCTCAATGTTAGCCTACGCATGTCTGTCACGTGACATTGCCATGTTCAAGGTCTTTGCCTTATTCACCTCTAGCCCATGGCTTTTTTTGATGACTCTTCAAGTTTATTGTTTGCTTTTAAAATGTCCATCTTTTAAAAAAAAAAAAAAAAAAAAAATTCTGAAAATATTTCTTCATCAGCCAATATGATAGTAATGCAACGTTAGGCTTAAACATTTTCTTGTTGTTTGTGGTAAATGAAATTTTCATTTGCAGTACTTTGTGATGGTTCGTCTTTTTTTTTTTTTATACGAGTAATTTCAGTAATAACATCTTAAAAATGAGGTTGAATAGCATACAGGAGTGAGTCTTTTTTGTCTTAGACATTGTTAAATCATGAATCTCATTTAGTTTCATCTCTAAACTGTCACTGGCCGACTGTTTCATGCTTGTAAGTCAGATAAGCGTGTTGCAATGTCTGGTCTCTGTTTAAGTACCACACCGTTCTGTCAGGTCTACACTGGGAAAAGGATATCAGGGGTTTACAAACATCCCTTGTGTAACTGGGATGTTAACTCCAAGTATATCAAAAGGTGGCATCCGCCGCTCCAGGGAAAGTTTAGTCGGTGTTTTTTTTTCGTAACCCAAATTCTTTAGTCTCTTACATATCTAATTTGAAATAACTGTTCCTGTAGTTAAGATAGGATTTTTAAGGCTATATTAGCTATTAATGAAATATTATAAGCATAATAAAGACTTAAATGGAATTATTCACTAATGCCAATGTCTGGTTATGAGGTCGTGTAGATTCCCCCCTTAGATAAGCTCACCCCGCTCTATAAATTTTGCAGCGATATTGTATTTTCTTGAGGCTTTGGTATTGTTCATGGCTAATGTTGCTCTATTATTTCCCTGAAGAATCATTTGGCTTACAGGGAGTCAAATAGCTGATATTCCTGATAGCTTCCTCTATTATGGATATATTTAACATCCATTCAAAGTAACTCATATTGCTGATATTTCCTCCCTTTTTGCAACATTTAGCATCTATTCAAAGTACAATGTTAATCCATTTAGCACACATGCAGTTGCCCCCACATTTTAAAATTTATTTTTTTATACCGGTGTCTGTTTATCTCTTTAATCCTCCGCTGACGTTTGTCTACCCCCTCACCTCCCACTTTGTCTATTTCTCTTATCTAATGTAGTCGTCTGCCAGATTTTTGCTGTAAGGCGATGTAATTAACCACCACCATTACACACCTGATGTCCCCCTGGCATACTGTCACACACATGATATCTCTTGGCATATTTTCACACACATGATATCTCTTGGCATATTTTCACACACATGATATCTCTTGGCATACCATCAAACAATAAATATATCCCGGCACATTGTCATTGATATCTCCCAGCATATTGTCACACACGAGATATCTCTTGCCATACTGTCACACACATGATATCTCTTGGCATACTGTCACACACATAATATCTCTTGGCATACTGCCACACACATGATATCTTTTGACATACTGTCACACACATGATATCTCTTGGCATACTGTCACACACAAATCTCTTGGCATGTATGGCATCTTTCCGTCTGCGGGAGACGATAGATTATCTTTATTGCTTGCAGCTCTTGGTGTGGCTGGAGAGACCAATCCTCGAAAGGCAGTCTCTGTAACATTTCCTACACACGAATGCGGTGGAGCAGTATTTACCGGCCTTCCTCCACGCTCTTTTTGCAGCTGTTTCCACCCTGTTTTGATCCTCGGCATGTAGTGATCCTGCCTTCACGATGCCCCGCCATGAGGATCGATCCTCTGCTAGCTCCTCCCAGTTTGAGATGTCGATGTTGGCCGACTTCATGTCTCTTTTGCATATGTCTAAGTATCTCTG